CTTAATGGCAACTAACAATGACAGTGGGAAGCAGAACACACAGGGCCTTATAGATCAGCAGAGAATCAACAAGATAGGATCTTTAAAAAAAAAAAAAAGCCCACTCTGGTTGCTATGGTGAGAAAGAGTCTGAAGGGGATAGGGGATAAGGGTGAATGCCAGGAGGCCATTAGGAGGCTACTGCTATGATCCAGGGAAGAAATGGTGGTAGCGTGGGCTACACGACAGCACTGAAGGAAGGGAAGAAGCGGTCAGATTCTGCAAATGATTGGAAGATGGCCCCAAAAGATACAGAGGGTGAGAGAAGGAGGGTCAAGGAGGACACCAGGGTTCACTGAGCAACTGGGAAGGACGGGGCTCTCAAAATCTGAGATGGGGAAGAATTTGGGAGTAGTAGACTGGAGGAGGGTAAGATCAGGAGCTCGGTTTTAGCCATGTTAAGTCTGATGTCTCAGGAGAAATGTCAAGCAGGTGGTTGGATTGGGAGTTATCAGCATATAGATGGAGAGATGGCATTTAAAGCCCTAACTCTGGAGGAGATTCCCTGGGGAGTGAGAAGGGAGCCCTGGTGGTGCAATCGTTAAGCTCTCAGTTGTTAACTGCCAAAGAGTAGGAACGTGTACCCTGTTAAAGTAAAAGTAAAGAGATTTATTGAAGGATATTACAACTGTATCTTGGCAACAATTTGCAAAATTAGAAATTGCTTCCAAGTATAGAGAATAAAAAGGGCTTTTATGTAGGAGAAGCTTAGGGAAACAGTCACCATTAGACATACATCACTAACTATAAGTCAGACATCAGTTAGTCTATAGGAGTCCTGTCCTGGAGCTAGCCTGCACAAGCGTTTTGTGAGAATGGTTTTACTTATCTTTCAAAGACAGAGACAGCTTGTGCAAAAACACTCAGAGAGCAGCTGCAGTTTGCCTCCCCTTCTCCCATCCTCCCTGTGTCAGTGCACATTAGCACGACTGTAAGCTTAGTTTAAATTCCTTTTATTTTTCAGGTCTGTTAGTGCAATACAGAATGGAGCTCGACTTGCACCTTGGCCCATAGCCTCTCCTATGCTAAGCTCTTAGGTTTTTTTGTTGAGCCCTTAGACCACCTCAGAAACCCAAGGAGGGGTAGCTATGAGTTGGATCTGACTCATCAGCAGTGAGTTTGGTTTGGTTTTCATTCCACAATCTCCTGTTTTGATAAGAAATTTATATTGAAATTCACTGATCACTATTCTGAGTGCCTTCATCTGCAGGGACTTGTGAACACACATGTGATACTTAAGGTTGTGTATCAGCTTGTTTGTACAATAATTCTGAGTGGTTTAAGCAGCTGTGGTGTGGTCATTCCCATGATGAGATCTGATGTCAGCTAGTCACCTCCATGATGGGATATGCTGTGAGTAGCCAGTCAGTTGAAAGGGAATTTCCTCAGGGGTATGGCCTGCTTCCTATATATATGGATGTCCTGGGGAAATTCTGGGACTTTCTGTTAGATCTGAATCCTGCATCATCCAGTTTTGGAACTGAACCAGTGACCTGTCATATTGCCTGCCAATCTTGGAATTGTTGGCTTCACAGCCTGTGAGCCAAGAGTCCACCATTTTACCTGCCAATCAAGTCAGCAGCCTGCTATACTGCCTGCTGACCTTGGGTTCATCAGCCCCTGCAGCTGCCAGTCAGGAAAAGCCTCCAGCTTGATGTTCAACCCCACAAACTTGGGACTTGCCAGCCTCTACAGCTGTGTGAGCCATTTCCTGGATATAATTTTTTTTTTCCTGTCTCCCTAAGATTCACTTGTTTTGCTTCTCTAGAGAACCTAGCCTAAGACAACACATGTAATTGAAACCTGGAAGTGCACTAACACCTAAATGTGTGCTGAGACTTGAATGCACACTGAGAGTTGAAATGTGCATTTTAAATTAACAGATAAGTTCAAACTTGATGGGCTGATACTTTGATTCTCTTGTGGTCAGACTATCAGACATGGGAGTGTCACAGTGATATCTTCACCAAATTTAAATTGGCAATGAACTTGTCAAAATGTGTAGAATGTAAACTGAAAATGAACGTACAAAAGAAATCCAATGATAAAACCTGAAGGGCTTCAGCACAAGTTAGCAGAACTCAATTTGAGAGGCTTTTTACTTGGGATGACTGCCAGGAACCTGGTGTTATAGTAAGCCCAAACAGCCCCATTGGTACCAGATCCCAAGTCCACAGTGTCCCAGGGGCTGCAGAAGATAATGCACTTTCCAATCCCACTTCTGACACCAGAAAACATCAATGAGCAAGAACACGTACTCTGTTAAAATTAAAGAGATTTATTGCAGGATATTATAACCGCAGTTGGTAACAATTTGCAAAATTACAAATTGCTACACAGTACAGAAATTGAGAAGGGCTTTTATATAGAAGTGTAGGGAAACAGCCACTATTAGTTATACCTCAGTAACCATTAGTCATATATCATCAGTTAATGTATAGATTACCTGTCCTGGAGCTAGCCTACACAAGCATTTAGCAAAAATAGTTTTACTTATCTTTCAAAGAAAGGGATAGCTTGTGCAAAAGCATTATTTCTGAGGACAGCTGCAGTTCTACCTCCCCTCCCCCCCCTCCCCGAATTGGTGCAGATTAACCCACTACTGTGAGCTCAGCTCAAATGCCTCTTCCTTTTCCAGTCTGTTAGTACAATACAGAATAATACAAAATGGAGCTCATTTTGGCAGAAGCCTCTCTTATGCCAAGTACCTAGATTTTGGGGGCTCTTCCATATAACTGAAAGGTCAGTGGTTCAAACCCACCAGCTACTCTGTGGGATAAAAGACCTGGTGATCTGCTCTCTTAAAGATTACAGCCTAGGAAACCATATGAGGCAGTTCTACTCTGTCCTCTAATGTCACTAGGAGTTGGCCGCTGACTTGGCAGCAAGCAGCAGCAGCAACAGGGAGTAAGAATGGCTAGAAAAGAGATCTTGGAGGAGCTGTCTGAAGTTCTGAGGCCAGTGAGAGCAGAAGGAAGCAAACGAAATGAAGCCTTGCCCCATTCCTCCTGGAGTAACCCATATTATCCCAGAGAAGAACCTGAATAGTATATGATTCAGGCCAGTTACCTGGGAACAGAGTCCTTAAGGGGAAAAAGTAAATACCTTCCCCCTTGATATTAATAGCAGTTTGATATTTGAGTCAATTTAATGACTCATTTTGAAAAATTTACCCCTTTCAGGGAACCAAATAATAACTCAAAAGGCTGTTTTGGGGAAAATTGACAAAGGTGAGGGGAAGAGCTAGTAGTAACTGATACGTTCAAAGACGAACTTATAACTGAAAATCGTTTTAAAGGCTGCTTGTAATATTATCTAATCTTTTCAAAATTTAAAACAGGGAATAAATTCTGCATGTCCATACTTATATATTCCTGGCACATGGCCCCTGAACAATTTTCCTTTAATAAGAGAAAAAATGGCAGCAACCTTAAGGCTGATTTTAAATACAAAGCTGTCTGTGAAAATAGCGATGCCAAAAATGAAAGAACACGCTCTTCTCACTGACTGGTTTCCAGGGGCCTGGTGATGGAAAAATGTCATGGTGGCAATGGAAGTCTCACCCTCTGAGGACACTGCACATTCCAACAGAGCAGGCTTAGGAGTAATATGCAAACAAAAGAGCAATTCCTAAAACATGGATTGATTTGGGCTTTATTGTCAAATATAAACAAAGACAAAATTCTCTGATACACCCAAATCACAAAAAAAAGTTTTTGTAAAAAATTCTGGTATCTTTGCCTAATCATCTGTAGTACTCGAGTTACAAAAATAGTATTTGTACAGAATGTATTCATGTGCAAAGCAGAAAATTTATTTAGCACTAAAACCCAATTATAAAAACATCCATTCCATTTTAAAACAGACAATTTAAAAGCGCTCCTGTCATTCTAAGTTTACATCAAGACATCTGTACAATCTGGATACTCAAATCCCTCTATCACTTCCATTAACAAAGACATTTTTCACTGCTTGAGGGTGCTGGAGGGGGAGCAGTGGTGTGGAGAAAACAGCCCTTCAGATAGTCCAGTCTGTCCCTGGAACTGCTGTTTTTACTCAGCCTGACGTTTCCTTCTTGAGCACCAGGGGGAGAGTTTTGTTCCTACTTAAACCAATTCCAAGTAAATGGTCAAGGATCCACTATGTAATGACGTTGCAAAATTTACTGCACCAAGAAACACATAACCAAGGTCTCTTGCCCTCTTAAATTCGCCCAGTTAAGCTTCTCAGACAAGGTTCTTCATAACCAACAACCCTAAAGTCCTGATTTCCAGATGTAATAATGGCTGTAAACACCCTTTAATAACTACCTTGCAATTCCATACAAATCCCTGACAGCTTTCTAGAGAGGGAATGGAATAACTAACTGTGAGGGTGCTCTAAAATTGTCAGAGACAAAAACAAGCTGAGTTTAACCATTGCCCTACTAGGTTATATGAATTCCAGTTCATAAACTCTCTTTACAGAATATGAAAGCAACATCTTCTCCTTAGTAAAAGCCATGCCTTTTATCTGCCTTTCCCATTTCCTTCCTTATTCTTGGTCAGTGTTTCTGGAAGTAGAGATAACTCCCCACAGGCAGTGGCAGGGGATATTTCAAGTAAGGCCAGCATCTCAAGGGTACTGTCTTTTCTGTGATTACAAGGAAGATGTGGCAAAGAAGCTCAAGAGAACATTTTGTGAACATGTTAACACGTCCGGTTTTACCTGCCAGGGGCTAGTGAAACTGGACGTCTAAGGCTGTCCAAATTCTCAGATTTAGGAATCACAGTTCTAACTGTTGCAATGGTAAGTGGTTATATGTATTAATGATCCTTATTGAGGAAGGCTTTCTCTTTAGCTGGGTTCTTGAGTTACATAGGCCTGGCCTGTGGGGTCAACAGGGGTGGAGGGTCCTGGAAGACACACAGGGCCAGAGACATCCTCAGCCTCGGAGGGGCAGTTCTGGGTTCTTCTGGTCTTCAGTCTTCCATGTCAGTGAATCTTCTTTTCTTGTAATTCTGAACAAGGTTGGAAGCTATGATCTGAGAAGCCTGCCCCTTCTCCCAGCACTGAAAGTCGTTCAGCCCTTTCTGGCCTGTTTGAAATAAGCCCCTCTCCATCTCATCTAGCCTGGCTACCAGTGTCGACGTGTCTTCATTGTAAGCATTCTGAGAGGAGTCCATGATGCGCCGAAAACGTCCAATAAATGTCTGAAGGAGAAGGGAGTAAGAAATCAGGGTGGTTCTCACAGCCCACAAAGCCAATCCATTTTTACCACTAGATACTGAAGTGATCAGAGTCAGAGTCCCCTCTACCACTCAAGTGCATGATTTCACATTGCCAAGCCTCAATTTCCTTGTCTGTGAAATGGGCTGTTACAAAAATCCAGTGGCTTGTTATGACAATCCATGAAGGAATACATGTTGGGCACCTAGCAAACGGCTGGCACATAGTAAGCACCCCATAACCATTCCCCATTACCTCTCACTGTTATCAGTACAAAGGCTGAGCAGTAGTTACCTGCAGTTTTCAACCAGAAAAGCCTTCTGATATAATTGAATGCCATTTCTGGTTTGTTTGTTTTTTTTGGGGAGAGGGTCTTACAGCAGGATGGCGACACATAAGATCTAGGGGTGTGCCTTTACCATAGGGCTCTGAGCCCAAATCATAAGCCCTGCTTTGGTTCCTTCAACCGCTTCATGGCAGTGCCATCTGATATATTGGCAAGTCTAATCTAAAGCAGGAGCTCTGGTAGCGTAGCACCTGAGGCACTTGACTACTAACCAGAAGGCTGGTGGTTCAAACCCACCAGCCACTCCTCGGAAGGAAGACAGGACAATCTACTTCTGTAGTGATACTGTCTCGGAAACCCAAGGAGGGGTCACTATGAGTTGGGTGCAACTTGATGGCACATAACAACACCAACAACAGCCTAAAGGTCAGTGTTTCAAACCCACCTGGGAACTCTATGGAACAGAGGCCCAGTGAACTGCTTCCATAAAGATGACAGCCAAGAAAATCCTATAGAACAAAATCCTGTAGTTACCGTGTAACTCATGGGGTTACCATGAGTCTGAGGTCAACTTGATGACAACCACCACACACACATACCCAAATAACTCATGTATTTCCAAAAGGACCCCCCCAGGCCAGTTCTGATACTGGCCTAGGCCTGTGTCTATAAGTGTTGTCACTCATAATCCACTATCACCTTTTTCTCATTTCCTGAGCTTCCTCCTGGTCCTAATTCTTAGCAAGCAAATATGAGGAACTTGAGACAAGTCATATTTAATGTGTATGTAACTGGCAGACACAGTCTAACTCAGGCTGACCCAGAATAACAAACAATTCTATAAATCATACACTTCCCTGAGTCAGAGTGACAACTGCCATCTGGTCACAGCTAGCTCCTGACACATGCAGTGCCACAGATTTGACATCATTACTTGCCTGCAGGAGAGACTGGGAAATATCTGCATTCTCTGGACTGTCAAAATGCAGGAGTTGGGAGCCAAAGCCATAGAAATATGGCCCCATCTTATGGAGGTCCACCACATTGGCATCTGCACTGAACACGGTCCTCCATCCTTCTTGATAGATCTTGGGAAGTTCCACAGAAAGGATCCGCCGCTTGTTGTCAAAAAGTCCTTTTGCCAGCCACAAGGGGATTTCAAGCTTTGAGCCCTGTAGCAAACAAGAAAACAGATTTTGTTTTAATCAGACAAATAACCGTAAATATGTGAGACAAACAGGAAATACACACTGCTCGGGATTGTGGATTTTTCTCTTTGGAGGAGTGACTGTCAAGTGGGGAATACCTGGTTGTGACTTGGAGAAGAAAATTGTGTGGGGCTGAAGTTTTATGTCATGAGTAATAGACTTACACAACAAGAACACAGTAGAAAACAAAAACAGGCGAAGTTTTCTTTCAAAAACATTTAAATTTTCTTTTTGGTGAAAATATGCACAGCAAAACCTGCTCCCATCTAATAGTTTCTAGACATAATGACCAGTGACATCGGTTGCATTCCTCACATTGCGTCAATATTCTCATTATTTCTGTTCTAGTTGTTTCACTTCTATTTATTTAATCTCCCTGCCCCTCAATCTTCTCATCTATGTTTTAAAATAGCCGTTGACCCCTTAGTCTTATATACCCATTGCTGTTGGTCAATTCGGACTCAGTACTGAGTGCAGAGCAGAACTGCTGTAATTTCTATGAAAGTAGACTGCCACATCATTCTCCTGCAGAGTTGCTGGTAGGTTCAAACCACTGACCTTTCAGTTAGTAGCCAAGTACTTTAACCACTGTGCCACCAGGGCTCCTTTTGCTCTTAATTTTTTTTAATGCAGTACTCAAGGGTGACAATCTGTACTCCTTGGGCTAAATCAGTACATAGTTTAAAGGTGACTTCAAGGGATAGTTTAAATTCAGGGTTTGACAAGCAACTCAGGGCCATGATCTTGGGGCTTCCTCTAGCCTCAATAGGTCTAGTCTGGATTCTTTAAGAATTTGAAGTTCTCGGGTCAAATTTAAGGGCCCTAATATATGGTATAAATAGACTACCAAGCATAATTCAAAATGCACCAACAGCAGAAGAGAAGCCAGATGATTGGGACCTTCTAAAAATTAAATTTTTATGTGCTTCCAAAGACTTCTCCAAAAGAGTCAAAAGAGAACCTACAGATTGGGAAAAAATATTTGGTAATAACATATCTGACAAGGGACTTATCTCTAGAATTCATGGAACACTTCAACACCTCAATAACAAAAAGACAAACAATCCAATTAAAAAATGGGCAGAAGACATGAATAGACACTTCACCAAGGAAGATATTCAAGCGGCCAACAAACATATGAAGAAATGCTCACGATCATTAGCTATTAGAGAGATGCAAATCAAAACAACAATGAGATACCATCTTGCTCCAGCACTAGTATCAAAGTACAACAAGACAGAAAATAACAAATGCTGGCAAGGTTGTGGAGAAATTGGGACTCTCATACACTGCTGGTGGGACTGTAAAATGGTACAACCATTGTGGAAAGCAGTATGGCGATTCCTTCAAAAGTTGGAAATACAAATACCATTTGACCCAGCCATCCCATTACTAGGTATATACCCTAGAGAAGTGAGAGCCATGACAAGAACAGATATATGCACGCCGATGTTCATCGCAGCACTATTTACAATAGCCAAAACATGGAAACAACCTAGATGTCCATCAACTGTGGAATGGATAACCAAACTATGGTACATACAGACAATGGAATACTATGCAATGCTAAAGAATAATGTAGAATCTGCAAAACACCGCATAACGTGGATGAACTTGGAGGACATTATGCTGAGTGAAATAAGTCAGTCACAAAAGGACAAATATTGTATAAGTCCATTATTGTAAAACTTAAGGAAAGGTTTATCTATTGGAGGAAATTTTCTTTGTTGGTTACCAGGGGTGGGAGGGGAGGGAGGGAACGCTGTTAGATAGATAGTGGTAAATATTGATTTGGGTGAAGAGAAGGGCAATGTACCAAATGGGAGTGACCAATATGGCACCATTGAGGATGAGAAAGACATGGAGAGGTACATGGGAAGTACAGACAACAAATATGAACCCTTTTGCATATACAGTACCAAGTTGTCAGTGAAGGCAAACGGGTATATGGACGGATAGCTAGGTGGACAGGCTAAACAATTAGGTATGTCTAAATGTGGAGTGTATCCAAGGTCATATATAGGGTTGGCAGACAATGGTCCTATAAGTTTATGTGAGTGATCAGAATTCCCAGGTGTATAGTAGAGCTGACAAGGGGCAAGGTTATGGTCATTGCTTGGTCACAGCCAGCTACCCAGAGGGACCGAGTAGTTGATCCTGCGGGCTTGGGACCATAGTCGCAGGGGACATCAAGCTCAATTGGCATAACATACTATACAAAACACTGTTCCACCTCCTACTTTGGCGAGTAGCGACTGGGATCTTAAAAGCTAGCAAGCTGCCATCTAGATGCAACAATGGGTGTCTCCTCGTCAAGAAGAAAGAAGAAAACCAAATGAATGGAAACAATCAGTCCTAGCAACTGGTACACCATCTGATCTGCAACCTATACAACTATGAGACCAGAAGAACTAGATGGTGCCCGGCTACCACTGTCATCCACTTGGAAGGGATGTATGAGATCCTGCATAGAGAGGGAGAACAATGTAGAACAAAACTCAAAATCATTTGGAGGCAAAAAAAAAAAGAAGGTGGGGACCAGGTTTGCTGGTCCAATAGAGCCTGGTGAAACCACTGAGACTATGGCCCCTAGCTGCCCTTCAGGTCTGGGATTGAACCCACACCTGTGATTTCCAGCCAAACAAAGAACAGGCAAGTGAGTTAAACATTTACCTCAAGTAGACACACACCCTGGAGAGAACAATCATGGGAGAAGGAAGGGCTGCTTATGCACAGGGAGATAGCTCAGGGCGCAGAAGAGTATGAAGGGATGGACACTGGGAAGAGGTAACTATGGGGAGGAAGTGGGAGGGGAGCTGTTGCATTGTAAATTTTGGTCAATGACATGAGATAAAGTATATGTGAACTGCTGTAGGAAAAGTGAATTTACTCTGTAAATCTTCACCCAAATCAAAATAAAATTAAAAAAAAAAGAATTTGAAGTTCTCTTCCACATTTTTCTCCCTTTTCATAAGCATTTATCTATTGTGTTTCTGATCAGAACATTCAATAGTGACAGGTAGACACCATCTAGTTCTTCTGGTCTCAAGGTGGAAGAGGCAGTGGTTCTTACAATTAGTCTTGTAGTCCAGTTCCTTGAAAGACTTGGTTTTTCTTCTCTCTCTTGTGTTCCAGATGAATAGAGACCAACAGCTGTACCTTAGATGGGTACTTGTAAGCCTTTACGACTCAGACACTACTTATCACACTGGGAGGGAAAAGATAAACTTCAAGAACTATATTATACCAGTTGACTGGATCATGCCACAAGGGTAAGTTTTCTAACTAACAGGAATAAAAACTGTTCAACTGCAGAAACTTTGGAGATATAATAGACATTTCTACTTTCTTTGAATAGTCAACATCTATTGTATACATATATTTGTTGAGTGCTTACTATGAGCTAAGCATTACCCTGGGTGTGAGGGAATATGAAGAAAAATATATCAACCCACACTCAGGCTGCAGTTGCTATCCATTCTACTTCAGTGGATATAAAGCCCATTCCACTTCAAGGTTCATATTCAAGGTATGACTAATCACACTTAGGACCATCCGTTTTGTTACTTTTTCGTACATCATATTGTTTGTTAGTAATATGTACTACATACAATGTTGCAGCCCATAATTTGCTGATGTTACCGTTCTCAGATGTTCATTTGCAGATGTGCAAAGATCAGATTTACAAAGATACTGATAATAAAAGGCAGTCATAATGAAAACAAATAAAAAAAAAGTTTTCAACTTACATCAGAACCACCTTACTACAGAGTTGTAGGAATAGAACCCTACAAGTCAGAGACTACCTATATATATAAACCAAAAAAACCAAATCCATTGCCATCAAGCTGATTTCAACTCATAACAATAGCCCTATAGGACAGAGTAGAACTGACCCACAGTGTTTCCAAGGCTGCAATCTTTATGGAAGCAGACTGCCACTCTTTGTGCCATGGAGCCAAGTGGCTGGTGAATTTGAACTGCCAACCTTTCACTTAGCAGCCAAGCACTTAACCACTGCACCACCAGGGCTCCTGTCAAGGTGTATATGTAGTTGTTGTACGGTGCTGTCGAGTTGGCTCTGACTCATGGAGACCCTGTGTGCAACAGAACAGAACACTGCCTGGTCCTGGATCATCCTCACAGTCCTTGTTAAGTTTGAGCCCGTCACTGCAGCCGCTGTGTCAGTCCGTCTCACTAAGGCCTTACCTTTTTTGGCTGATCCTCTGCTTTACCAAGCATGATACCCTTTTGCAGGGACTGTTCTTCTGACAACATGCCCAAAGTAGGTGAGACGAAGTCTGGCCATTCTCATTTCCAAGGAACAGTCCGGCTGTACTTCTGCCACAGAGATTTGTTCATTCTTCTGGCAGTCTGTGGCATTTTCAGTATTCTTTGCCAGCACCACAATTCAAAGGCATCAACTCCTCTTCAGTCTTCGTTATTAATTGCCCGGTTTTCACGTGTATGAGACGAAAATATCATGGCTTAGGTCAGGCGTACCTGGTCTTCAAAGTAATATCTTTGTTCTTTTCTTTTCTTTTTTAAATAAATTATCTAACAGTGTTCCCTACTCTATCCTCCCACCCCTGGTGACCAACAAAGAAAATTTCCTTCCATATATAAACCTTTCCTTGACTTTTTACAATAACAGACTAATACAGTATTTGTCCTTCTGTAATTGACTTATTTCATTCAGCATAGTGTCCTCCAAGTTCATCCACGTTATGCGGCGTTTTGCAGATTTTACATTATTCTTTAAGGTTGCATAGTATTCCATTGTGTGTATGTACCATAGTTTGGTTATCCATACTTCAGTTGATGGACATCTAGGTTGTTTCCATCTTTTGGCTATTGTAAATAGTGCTGTGATGAACATGGGTGTACGTATGTCTGTTCTTGTCCTGGTTCTCACTTCTTTAGGATATATACCTAGTAATGGAATGACTGGGTTACATGGCATTTGTTTCTTTTTTTTTTTTTTTAATCTGAAACCAGTTTATTCCAGCCAGAGAATTTTGAAACATAAGTTGTACAATATTCATAGTAGCAAAACCTGCCATCAATATGTCTAACATATCCATAACATGGATTACAATGGCAGAACACATGCTAGAACTCACTGCTGTCAGCTGATCCAACCCACAGCAACCCTGTAGGACCAAGTAGAACTGCTTATGGGGACAGAAGTCATAAAATTTCCAGAATTTGAATACCCCATGATGCGTCCCTCAAACGGTGTTACATGGCGTTTCTAATTAGAACTTTTTAAGGAATCGCCATACTGCTTTCCACAGTGGTTGTACTACTTTACAGTCCCACCAGCAGTGTATGAGAGTCCCAATCTCTCCACATCCTTGCCAGCATTTGTTATATTCGATTTCTTTGTTCTTTAACACTTTAAAGAGGTTCCTTGCAGCAGATTTGTCCAGTGTAAAATGACACATTGTAATATGATGTCTGATTTCTTGGGTGTTGATTGTGGATCCAAGTAAAATGAAATCTTCGACAATGTCAGTCTTTTCTCCATTTATCATGATGTTGCTTATTGGTCCAGTTGTGGATTTTTTTTTTTTTTTTAATTTTTATTTTGAAGTGTAATCCAAAGGTATATATGTTGTTGCTGTTATTTGCCGTTGAGTCAGAGCCAACTCATATATAGCACAGTTAAATTGATCATATGCTGAAGAATAAAGCAAGTCTTAACAATTTTAAAAAATGGAAATAATTCAGATTATGCTCTCTGGTCAGTGTGGAAATCAGCTAGAAATCAAAAGCAAAAGCGATAAACAGAAAACCCTGCAAATGTATGGCTTTAAGCACTACACTTCTGAATGACACACAGGTTAATAAAGAAGAAACCACAGTGGAAATTAGAAAATATTTTTAACTGAGTGATAATGAAAATACAAGAATCAAAGCTTGTGAAATGCAATGAAAGCTGTGCTTACAGGGAAATGTGCAGCTAAAAATGGAAGATGAAGAATCACTATCCAGCTAACCATCACACAAGTAGAGTGGGGAAGGAAGACAAATTGACAAGCCAGTCACTTGGTATAAGACAGCTCTCAGAGTTTACATTCTACTTCCCGGTGTGGTGAGTAGTGCCTGGTCTTAAAAGTTTGTGAGCAGCCATCTAAGATACAACGATTGGCTTTATTTGTCTAGAACAAAAAAGAAAGAAGGAAACCCAAGAATATTAAGTTCAAAGACAGGTGAAGGAAAAAACTAAGATAAGAATTGAATGATCTAGGCGTCCTGGAAGGAGCTCTCATGGTGTAGTGGTTAAGGCATTTGGCTGCTAACCAGAAGTTTGGCGGTTCAAACCCACCAGATGCTCCATGGGAGGAAGATGGGACAATCTATTTCCTTAAAGATTTACTAGCCTTGGAAACCATATGGAGGTCGCTGTGAGCTGGAATTAACTGGATGGTGGTGAGTTTGTTTTTTGGTTCTTCTGAGGAGCCCTGGCAGCGAACTGGTTAAACACTTGGCTACTAAGTGAAAGGTGGACTGTTCAAACCCACCAGCAGCTCCAAGGGAAAAAAGATCCATTGATCTGCTCCCGTAAAGATGACAGCCTAGGAAACCCAATAGGGCACTTCTACTCTGTCCTATGGAGAGGTCTGGAACAGCTAAGGGAAATGAACTTCTCTGTCAATTTGTTGTACTGAGGTGGTTGCTAAGCCGGACTTGGAAGAAGGCAGAGGCCATCTACTTCTCAAAGAATTGGCCAGTGAAAACCTTACGAATAGCAGTGAAACACTGTTTGATATATTACTGGAAAACTTTATGAATAGCCCTGAAACATTGTCCAATATAGTGCCGGAAAATGAGCCCCTCAGGTCAGAAGGCACTCAAAATATGACTGGCGAAGAGCTGCCTCTTCAGAGGAGAGCCGACCTTAATGAAGGAGATAGAGGAAATCTTTCAGGACCTCCATTTGCTGATGCGGCAAGACTCAAGATGAGAAGAAACAGTTGCAAACATCCATTAATAATCATAACATGGAACATATGAAGTATGAATCTAGGAAAATTGGAAGTTGTCAAAAATGAAATGGAATGCATACAGATCGATATCCTAGGCATTAGTGAGCGGAAATGGACTGGTTTTGGCCATTTTGAATCAGACAATTATATGATCTACCATGCCGGGAATGACAAATTGAAGAGGAATGATGTGGCATTCATCATCACAAAGAATGTATCAGGATCTATCCTGAAGTACAGTGCTGTCAGTGATAGGATAATATCCATATACCTACAGGGAAGACCCCCCCCCCACTACTACTATTCAAATTTATGCACCAACCACCAAAGCCAAAGATGAGGAAATTTAAGATTTTTACCACCTCCTGCAGTCTGAAATTGAGCAAACATGCATTTGAGATGTGTTGATTATCACTGGTGACTGGCATGCAAAAGTTGCAAACAAAGAATCACCAGTAGCTGGAAAATATGGCCTTGGTGATAAATATAACACTGGAGATTGCATGATAGAATTTTGCAAGACCAACAACTTATTCATTACAAGTACCTTTTTTTCAACAACACAAACAGTGGCTATACACATGGACTTCGCCAGATGGAATACTACATCTGTGGCAAGAGGTGAAAGAGAAGCTCAATATCTTCAGCCAGAACCAGGCCAGGAGTTCATTGTGGAACAGACCATCAACTACTCATATGCAAGTTCAAGTTGAAGCTGAAGACAATTTAAAGAAGTCCACGGGAGCCAAAATATGACCTTGATTATATCCCTCCTGAATTTAGAGACCGTCTAAAAAATAGATATGATGCATTGAATACCAGTGACCAAAATCCAGAGGAATTGTGGGATGACATCAAGAACACCATCCATGAAGAAAGCTAGATTTCATTAAAAAGATAGGAAAGAAAGAAAAGACCAAAATGGATGTCAGAAGAGACTCTGAAACTTGCCCTTGAATGGAGAGTAGCTAAAGCAAATGGAAGAAATAATAAGATAAAAGAGCTGAAGAGGAGATTTCAAAGTGCAGCTCAAGAAGACAAAGTCAATTATTATAATGAAATGTGCAAAGACATGGAGTTGGCAAGCCAAAAGGGAAGAACATGCTCAGCATTTCTCAAGCTGAAAGAACTGAAGAGGAAGTTTAAGCCTCGGGTTGCAATATTGAAAAATTCTATGGCAGTGTATTGAATGATGTAGAAAACATCAAAAGATGGAAGGAATACACAGAGTCACTGTACCAAAAAGAACTGGTCAATGGTCATCCATTTCAGGAGGTGGCATATGATCAAGAACCAATGGTACTGAAGGAAGAAGTTGAGGCTGCGCTGAAGGAAATAGTGAAAAACAAGGCTCTGGGAATTGACGGAATGACCACTGAGATGTTTCAACAAATGGATGCCACACTGGAGGCACTCACCTGGCTATATCAAGAGATTCGGAAGATGGCTACCTGGCCAACTGACTGGAAGAGATCCATATTTGTACCCATTCCAAAGAAAGGTGATCCCACAGAATGTGGAAATTATCAAACA